CATAAAATTACGAACCATTCGAATAGGTCTTCAACAGTAAGCAATTTGAGTGAATCTGGCGCAAATCTACAAGAAGTAATTAAAATCACTGGTCATTCTTCTACGGAATCTTTGAAACCGTATTTAAAGCTCAGTAACCAACACCATTCGCACATAATAGAAAAAATACGAAAGGAATCTTCGCAGTGCACTACTACTCTGCATTCTACCGCTATTGAAAATTCAACTACGCAAAAAACTGACAATAATGTAACCAACATTTATTATAACAACTGCGTTTTCCATATCAATTCAAAATAAATTGAATTTTGTTGTTGCTAATACCTATATTGATTCCGTGTTTTTAGTATTATAACATGGGACAAATTATATATTATTTAACTTGTTTATTCATTATATAATCTAACGAATACTACTCTTGTATTAATTACAATCAAATATACTATATTGATACACTCAACGTATTTTTTTGGGAACACCACTCGTCCTTCGGACTCGTGATGTTCCCAAAAATACGTTTCGTGTCCAATACAGTATATTCGATTATAATGAATGCACTCGTGGTATTATAAGTGATTATGCCATTATTTTGTTTTATTAAGTATTTATTTCTGTATTCACGACGAGTTGATTATCAGTGCGATGTTGCTCTGTTCGATTGATTCGTAACTATTCCGTGAGGGAAGTACCTATAATCATTGAATAAAAACACTATATAGTGTTTTTATTCAATGCTATAATACAGTTTGATTGTTCGCTGTATCTGTTACTTTCGGATTCGTGGCGCGCTGCAGTTCTTGTGCGTTAGCTATACGAATGGGGGCCCTCTTATTTGATGTTTCGATGTTTGTGTGTGTGTGAGTGGTTCATTCTGTCTCCGTGGAGTAAGTACCTATACAGTTCGATCTTTAGGTGTATCCGTTGCCTACTCGCATCTCGTGCGGAATGCAATTTTTAGCATCTTAGCAATGTGAGATATTTAGGGGCCCTCTCATTAACATTTCCTCTATTTAAACTATGTTCTGCTTGAGCGATAATCGATTTTCACATGAATACTTGCTATTGGCATTCTCACATGTACTTTTCGTGTTAAATTAATTTATGTTAACTGAAGGCTGGAGTAGAGCCACACCATTTACATATTTCCTATGTACATGCAATTTATTTTTTTACGAGTTGTGTTAGCTCAATTGAGCGTACAGGTATTTTGATGTGTTTTTGTACTGAATTGATTTATCAGGTTTTTCACTGCATGATGCCTTGTGTATTTTGTTTTCATGAACTTGTTTACTTAATTGCATTTGATTTGATTATCTGATTTTTGTCATACGCAATTTGAGATGATTTATTTATGTGTATTTTCTCTTGCATTTTATTGCTGTAGGTGATTTATTTCATGTATTTGTGTGGTGTTTGTCCCGTAGAAGGTTTCCCTGGTATGGTCTTGTGTGTAATATATTTATTTGTTCTTGTCATTTCTTACGCACAAAAGTTCTGTCTTTTATTTAATTCTCTTCCCGATTATGTCTCACGTCCCAACGCATACAAGAACCGATTACACAACGTATGAGTTGATTCGTGCCACCCATATCGAGCCGACTGCCATCCAAATTCAAAAGTGCCGCGAAACGTCCATCGTTCCGACTTGGAGGGTAGGTGGCTCTGCTTGTAGTTTTTCCCAGAGTTGCCAACGGTAAGTATAGGGTAAGTCAACGTTTTCAGTGTCGGCTTGATAGACCCCTATTCATTGAGTTCTTCGGGTATGGTTAAGGAATTAAGCACAATAAATAATTAAGTACGCAAAACTAAAAATGCAATTTAATGTCCTCATAACATGTCGGCTACTTGAACACAACTTTTAAAACTACAGCGACATCTTACAGTTAAAATAAAGAACTCATGTATAATTGCTTGCTATCAACACTCCCCCTCAATTATACACTCCTTAAAAATAAAGATTTCTATTTCCCCTACAGGGCAAAAACATTTAGAATATAATAAAAATTCTTAACCTAGATATTATGAACTTTAACCACATTTAATAAGTTTTTAAAATATTCAAATTTACTTAATGACAATGATTTTGTTAAAATATCTGCTTGCTGTTCGTTTGAGGGTATATATTGAATATGTATTCTTTCAGATTCCACACAGTCTCTAATATAATGATGTTTAATGTCGATGTGTTTGGTTCGACGAGTTTCCAATGTTGATGCCATTCTAATACAGGATTGATTATCTTCGTTAATGACAATCGGAAAAATATTAAGATGTAAAATTTCTTGACATATGTGACCGAAAAATAAGCAATTGCTAACACATGTCGCTAAAGCTACATATTCGGCTTCAGAGCTTGATAACGCTACTGTGCACTGCTTTCTTGTTTTCCAATCAATAACATTATTGTTCATTTTAATGACGTATCCGGAAATACTTTTACGGTCATTAATATTATTTGCAAAGT